GACACTAATTCTGCTAGCAGGGTGGGGGTGGGTGGATCCCAAGTAAATTAGATGCAGTAAAAAACTAAGTGAAAGAAAAATGATTTAGTCACCAAAGCAAAAGATCAGACGCATTATTATGTGACAGAAGCCATAACAATCAAAATTATGAAAGACTTTTGCTTTGTGTTGTACCTCAGAACCTACAGTCAGGGTAAAAGAAACTGAAGAAGAGTAGACATATTAATATGGATATCATTATGTTGGGTATAAATTCTTAAAGAACAGTGCTAAATTATTTGAAGTGAAAGGAATACTATGAGGGGAGAGGTTGAAAACGTGAAGAGAATAAGCCCCATAAGTGAGCGGAATCAAAGACAGCCTGAATTAATGTAGAGTGTAAACTCAGTAGATGAGAAGTAAATGCCACAATAAATTACAGGAGGTGAAAGGAGAAGCAGGAGGGGCAAGACCAGAAACAAACAACCAAAGTCAGATGCAAAAGCCATGTGAAGCAATGAGACCAGGTGAAAAACATTAAAATTTTTTAATCCTTTTTTTCAAAAATCAGAACCCCACAGAACTGTAAGAAAAAAGACAAGAATCCCACATAAGGGGAGATACACATAGCGTCATTATGAAAACTAAATGTGTTTTCTGTTTAGTTTGGTTGCTGTGTGAATCTGGAACCATTCTGACATGTGGAAATACTCATTGTGATGTGCTTAAAGTGTATTGATTATCGTAATTGTTTTTTCTGTGTTAGTTGCAGTCCATTGTGATTTCCTATGGGCTACTGTAATTGCCTTTTAACCTGCTCTGTTGGCTAATTTGGTGTGGGGCAGTCAGAATGATCTTTGCATGTCAGCTCACTGTAACCACCAGACAGGAATAGCAAGTTCCAGCCAAAGAAGAAACTTAGAGAGGTAGGACTTGTGCAAAGATACAACAAAGAGGTGGGCTGCCCAGTGCTTTGTGAAGTGGCAGTGGGAGAGGAAAAGGAGTACTTCTGTTTTTTATCTTTTATTAGCAAGTGACTTTCTGCACCAGGCTGTGTGGGTATGGCCTTCACAGTCATTTTGCAGAATTTCTTATAGTATTTATTTACTGACTTTGAAAGACAAACAGCCCTTCCATTGCAGTCTTTGTCCCTGCATTTTTTTTTTCTTCCTATCCCTTGTTTTGTCCTTGTTTTCCTTAAAATTTTAGGAGATCTCAGAATCCCCATCATATTCTGTTCACATTTCAGGATCACACCTCATTGAGTATGTGAACTGTCACTCTTACACGAATGCTCTGAGTCCATGTCAGGGCTGCTGCCCCACCCTGTGGTCATCTCTGAGGTTTTGTGTGGATGTTCGTGTTTTGTAGCGTTAGTCAACTATCAAGAAAGAAAACGATCTTATTTGCAAAAAGTCTTAGTGTACTCAATGTCAGGATCCATTATAGCTTCTTTCACCATTTTCCTTTATTATTTCAAATATAAATAAATATGTATCAGAACCTAGTATGTCATCGATCACTTTCCTCTGTGGCCCTGTGTTGTCCGTAATGAGTAAATTTGCGACACAACAGAGCACATGATGTCACAGTATAGGTTCTCCTATGTCCTGAGTCCTCACTGACCTTGAAAGGCTAGGGTTAAAATGTGGGCTGTCCTTGCAGCCCTTCTTTTTCTCTAATTTTTGGTTTGCAAACTTAAGTTGCTAACCCTCCAGAAGAGAAGCTTAATGATATTATTACCCTATAACATAGGCAGTTGAGCTTAACGTTACTATCTGTCTGAATATCAATCATCTTAGACATAACATGGAACAGGTATTTTCCATCATGTATTGATATATTAAGCTTTAAATCCCTACATAATGTGAAGAAAAAAATATATTTTAAAAAATAGGAATAAATAATTACATGTTTTTACACAGAAATTTGGAAATCTAACCATATACAGCATTGTAGCAGGACAGTCCTGTGATATATTTTTTCCTTTTCTCTTGTTTTCATTTATCCTTTTTTTTTAAACATTTACTTGAGAGACAATATAGCAATAATTGGTATGACATGACAAGCAGTACATATTAAAAAGACCAGAATGACAGGCATTCCAAGCATGACCCCAGTATTATACATTTCTTTCTTCAGTGAAGTTGCTTAGTTCACAAGTATCAGCATATATAGTCAGGGTTGTGTCCCAAATTTTCTGATCAAGGAGATTATGGGGCTGCAGAGGAAAGTGATCGATGATGTAGAGTGTGCCTAAGGAGAGTCACATGGAGAGAAAAACATTCCTTCAGGCTTTCTCAGAGAGCAAATTGGTCAAGCAATGGCCGTGACTCATCCACATGGCTGACACTGACAAAGGATCTACAAACTGCAGTAGAGGGTTTCACGGTAAATCCTGAGGAGATTTGACTGACCTTGTTAAATACAAAGTTACATTTCTTGTTATGTAGGTCTTGCTTTATCTTGGTCTTAACCATCCAGTAGAAAAGTGTGAAAATGAAGTATAAAAAGTAAAGCCATATTAATATGCTGAGCTGTAAAATGCTCAAGTCAATCACTTCTGACATTGCCAGTCCTACAGATAACTCACTACTATTATGGACTACTGGACTTTATTGGATTATTTTGCTGAATTCACACACCTGCAATATTTAAATGGTGAGGGAATACCCATCTCTGACAAAACTAAACAAAAAAAGGGGATACAAGTAAAGGACCATTTTGTTTCTGTATATACAAAATAGTTAAGATAGATATACAGCTACTTTCTCTTAATTCAATGAGAAGAAAGATTTGTACTAATAGTGTTTGGACAGGATATCATGTCTGCCTCTTGTACTATGAATAACCACTAGAAGATAACAATGTGCAATGTATTAATTATTGAAACTGTCCCAATAATTGGTTTTGAAACTGTCTCATTGCTATTTATTTCTCAATAAAATTAATTTAAAATAAAGAAATATTTGCAGGGATGTAATTATAGCTGGGACAGGCTAGGATTTCTTGACCCTGCCCAGCATCAACATCTCTTACATGAACATGTCACTATACAGAGGGTCACATGCATGACCCCGAAGAGCATGCATTGGGATGAATACATTCAGTTTGGGGGACTCATTGTGCCCCCAATTCATAAAAGGCATGTGTTTCCTTTACAAAACAGAATTCCCAGAAATGTAAGATACAGTTACAATAATTAATTTAGTGAAACTTCTTAAATCTGATGTTCTCTTCAAACTAATAATGGGAGGATAGGGTAGCTAGATGTCATTAATTGAAATCTGGAGACAATAAAAAAAAAAATGGCTTTCTGCAACTTCAAAAAAAAAAAAAGAATGGGGCCGGGGAGATGGCTCAGTAGAATAAGTGCTTCCCTGGCAAGCGCAAGGACCTGAGTTCAATCCCCGGTTCCTCAAAAAAAAAAAAAAAAAAAAAAAAAAAAAAAAAAAAAAAAAAAAAAAAATCTAGTGTATACTGAGCTCTGTTGATTACTGTGCATTTAATTATTGGAACAACTCTATGAACAACTCTATGTGCACAGCATCAGCATGCTCCCTTTTCAGGGTAAGAGGTTTGCCGTGGCACCTTAACTACTTCTTTCACAAGAGCAATGATAAACTCCTTTGATCAAAGAACTATGACCACTTTATAGCTGTATTCTCAAATATAAACTCACCAGCCAAGATATTAAATATATACTTAAAATCATCTGGATCTACCCACCTTCCCACACTGAGTACAAAGGTTTCCCCAGCAAGCCTTCTATTTTTTTTTTTTAGCAGTACCAGAGATTGAACTCAAGACCCTGTGCTTGCCAGGCAAGCGCTTATTCTACTGAGCTATTTCCCCAGCCCAACAAGCCTTCTTTGCAATACTTAAATCTGTTGTTATTTGACATACCTCACCATGATGTGACCCTGCCAACTTTATTCCCTGTATCCTGATTTTTTTATTCTCAGTTTTTGAATTTAATTAAAAATTTAATGCTCCCTTTAAATTAATTTAAGATTTAGTACAGGATCTACAGGGTCTCACTACATAGATTGGACTCGTAGTGATCCTGCCTGTTTTTCAGCCTCCCAAGCACTGGGATTATGGGCTCATGTACCACCATGCCCAGTCTCACTCGCCTTCTCAGTGTACCCCTGGGGCAGGACCAGCACAGCAGGCCAATAATCGAACCCCTGGCCCCTGCATCTGCCTACGCAGGTGCTTTTAATCTGCTGAGCTTTCTGGCTGGCACAATTCTCATATTTTTAATAAAATAAAATATTACAAATAAAATTCAAACTATAAAATTCAGATCTCCTTTGCTGATTTCCTCAGACTCATGTTTTAACCTCTTTCTCCAGAAGCCTCTGTGATCAAACATTTGAGATGTTTCCCCTTTTGCAAGTTTTTATACCAGCTTACTTTCTTCATTGCACGTTGTTTTTAAGATTTTATCACATTGTGCTTATAGACTGTGATTATGTAATTTCCCTACAGCACATTAACTGTCCCATGATTGCAATGTACCTGAAAATGAAGTACATTCCAGAAAGAGCTTGATTTATTCCCTCTGTGCCACGGAGGAAAAATTCTTGCCTGAAGAGCTTTTTGCCAGCTTTCATTTGAAGTTAGGGGATGGTATCTTTCAAGTGTGAGCCACATCTCCAAAGTAAAAAGCATCTGACCTGGAAGAGTGTTCGCTTGCTGTGGGAGAACAAGGTGGCTGTATGGTACAGTTATGTGTCCAGCATAGATTGAGGAACCCACTCACCCTCCAGCAGTATCCTGTCACACTGGCACTGATAGCTGTATTTCTCTGCTGTGGAAAAAAGGAACCAGAATAGATAAGCAGCTCTCCACTGTTCATCACATACATGTGTAATGGCTGTGGTCTCATCATTTCTTCTATAGTTGGTGAACACTTGTTGAACATCAGCAGTGAAGTAGGCACAGGAGGTTGGCTACATACAGTACCTTTCTCTCTAAGAGCCTCTCTGAGCTTTCCTGTCTGTCTTTTATTAAAGGTCTACACATGTTCCTGTTGGAGAAGATCAAGTCCAGCACATGGAACTAGTTCAAGATCTAGCACAAGGCTTCAACAAGAAGTATGGGCCATTCTTTCCGGTGCCTCAGTCCATTCTAAGTAAGCAGCAAATGAGATTATTAAATCATTAACTTATACCATGTTTTGAATAGAGGACTGCCTAATAGACAGAGGCCTGGGACTGTCTTGGTACTAAATTTTACTTTCTTGGGGGCAGTTTTAAGGATTTATAACTAGAATCCTCATCATTTTATCATGTAGGACTACTAGACCGCATTGAATTATTGAAAAAGATAATTAAAACTCTTGAGTTAGCACAAAATAATCTAAATACTAAAAATAATAGTTTTAATGTGTAAGGTATTATATACTTATGTATATATGTTATAATTAGGTATGTGGAATATATATTATGTATATTATACAATATATTATATGTAATTACATACCATTATATAGAATTATATAGAAATTTTCTTATTATATAATATATGTTATATATTATATATGCCTAAAAGAATTATATATATGCCGATAGATAGATAGATAGATAGATAGATAGATAGATAGATAGATAGATAGATTTTATTTGGTGCCAGCGAGATAGCTCAGCAGACTAAGTGTATGCTTAGGCAAGCACAGGGACCAGGGTTCAATCCCTGGTACCACATGCTGCACTATCCCCACCTGCAGATCCACTGAGCAGTCCAGGGGGTGGTGGCATGTACCTGTAATCCCAGCACTGAGGAGGCTGAAAACAGGAGGATCACTACAAGTCTGAGCTGCATAGTGAGACCATGTACAAAATACATGAATTGGAAAAAAAAAAAAAAGCGAAAGCTCGGCAAAGCTCATTTTGTATCCCAGTTTGTGTCTACCTCACATCAGAGTTGTGTCCTACACTGAGCTCTTCTGTGTCTTGCTGTCCTAAATACAATAAACTAAGACATAAGAGTGAGAAGTGCTCAGTTATGATCTAGATAAAGCAAGATGGTCTCAAGTTATCCCCGCACTTTTTCTTCCTAAATGAAGACCAAGATATGGAGTGTACAATGCACCTACTGGATCTGAGCTGTTAGCCTCAGCTCTTGATGCTGTGCTAGTCTAGATAACTTCTTCAGGACAGACGCCATCAATCTTCGTCAGCATTTTGACGGCATTGTAAATGTGTGGAGAGGGCAGAGATCTCTGGGCACTATTCATCTCTATTAAGCTGGCAGCATTTTATAGGAGGATAATATGTGCCTAGTATCAATTACTCAATTAGAAACATCTATCAGTACAAATGCATTTAGCCCAATTACTCACAACAATAAGTTCAGATTACTTCATACATTTAAATCAACCTTCTTTTAGCAACAAATAAGATTTTAATGTTTTGACCTATTATTTTACATATTTCTGTAATAGCCATAAAATGCGTAGTTACTGATAAATAATAATGCTGGTTTATGAAGCACAAATTAACATCTTGATTCTGTCAAACCATTGAATAAGTCATTTGTGAGTGTGTGGGTGTGTAAAATTTACATGATCCTGGGTGAGAAAATGGAAGGATTGCCTCAGATTGTTAAAATTGGTTGGAGGGGGAGGCAGGAAGGACAGGAATGATCACTTATAGAGTAGGGCAGATACTAAGAAGGATGCTTTAAAAGATACACAAAGAAAAAGAATGATTGACATAATTTTATTTGTATAAGATTTTACATTTTTATTTGGCTATGTACATTAAAAGATGCTTTGAAACTATCAGAATATTAATGTTATTATATGACTCAGATGGTCTTGCATTACTTGAGTTTTTCACAGTATTTGTTATTTTATAAGCAGATAAAATAATAATTTGACATTCTTGGTGTTTTCGAGGTATACACATTATGACACTCCTGGTGATTGATTTTTGCTTTTGTTTTTGTTTATTTTTTGGCATGTGTGTGTTGGTGTTTCACTCAGCACCCATGAAGAAAGTCAAATCCCTTCGTGATCCTTCTGCCAAAATGTCAAAGTCAGACCCTGACAAACTGGCCACTGTCCGGATAACAGACAGCCCAGAGGAGATAGTGAGTAAATTCCGGAAGGCTGTGACAGACTTCACCTCTGAAGTCACCTATGACCCTGCTAAACGAGCGGGAGTCTCCAACCTGGTGGCAATTCATGCTGCGGTGACAGGACTCTCAGTGGAGGAAGTGGTCTACCGCAGCACAGGCACAGACACTGCCCACTACAAGCGGGTGGTGGCAGATGCTGTGATTGAGAAATTTGCTCCAATCAAGAGTGAAATTGAAAAACTAAAGATGGACAGAGACTATTTAGAGAAGGTTTTACGCACTGGATCAGCAAAAGCCAGAGAATTAGCATATCCTGTGATCCAAGAGGTGAAGAAATTGGTCGGGATTCTATAGGAAGCTAATCACAAAAGGATTTGCATATTACAGTCTGGACACTAATAAAGGTCATGCTCCACTTTCTACACATAGAGAGAGTTTGGGGATATTTAATCATTTATTTCGGTAGCTGATTATTGGCTTCATTGGATGAATGAGTCTTTATAGTGTTCAAATCATGTTCCAAATCTCATCAATGCAATGTGATCAGAAAATAAACACTAGTAAAGACGGCATAGCTGGGTGAATCCCCAATTATTTGAGGCCTGCTCTTTGATCTGAATATATCCACACAAATGTCATTGAAGCGAGCAGTGACTTGGGAGATGGGACAGGATGTGTGCTTCCTTCCTTGCGTACTTACTTGAACAGGTGTTTACTGTATCTATCCCAACCCTTTTTAAGAGCATTACACTGAGTTCTTAGATTTATAATCCAAGGGATGTCATTTGATCCAGCTTGTGTTCAGGGCTTGTCTCAGTCACTTTCCTTTCCCTGAAACGATGACACCTGACATCCACAACTGAAGAGAAGAGGAATTTCTTTTGGCTCGTGGTTTCCAGAGGATTCAGTCCACAGCCAGCTGGCTCCAAGCCAGGAGGGGATATGGTACATAGAAGGGTCTGACAGAGGAAGGCTGCTCATGTCATTCAGGCCAAGAAGCAAGAGAGGAAGGAAGAGCCAGGGGCAAGAAAGCCACCACTAGCAAACCCCCAACCATCTCAGCCTCTTACCAGCAGATTCAGCTGTGGATTGATCAGTGGATGAATCTGTTGATGAGTATAGCACCCTCTGATGTAATCACTTGCTAAAATATCTCTCAACACATGCGGTTTGGGGGGACTTTCTAAATCTTATGATAGCAGATCTCATAAGAATAGGTTGGTTATTATATATAGTTCCTCAGTCACTGAGATATTACCTGCCTTAAAGTGTTTAAATTACTTGTTTCTCCCAGGGACCATACTGATCATTCCAGCAACTATTTGTTGAAATATAAGAGAGATCCTCTTCCGAATGCATTTCATTATTTCAGCTTGATTCACTCATTGTACAAGAGTCCAGGTCCCTGAATTGTGTTCTTTATTAGCACTGTTTTGCCTTCATCTCAGTTTAGTCTCACCAAACTCCTATGAAATATATAGAAGAGATGCTGTCATTCTCAAATACAGTGAAGCTCAGAGCACAAATAGCTCAGACAGCAAGATGCAAGTTCAGAATAAAACCTTTCTTTACTGCTTGAGGAGTGCTTTTTAGGTCTTTCTGTGGTTTTTTTTTTTTTGTTTTGGGGGGATTTTGTGTGTGTGTGTTTGTTGTTATTGTGTTGTTTTGCTTTTTGTTTTGTTTTGTTTTTGCATTTGCACAAAGCTCTTGAGAGGCAGCATGTTCACAACTGAAAACACTGTGATTATGAAACTGAGTTTGGAAATAAAAAGCCTAAGCCACTGATTTCATTTATGTCAACAAGTCAGCAAACACCTTTTTTTTAATATATTAATTTGGTAGAGTCTCACTACACAGCTCATACTCATAGTGATCTTCCTGTTTTAGCATCCCCAGTGCTGGGATTACAGCCATAGCCTACCATGCCCAGTTTCATTGACCAGCATGACATGCCCAGGGCTCCAAGGCTGACATGGCTTGCAATACTAGGGGCCAAACCCAGGTCCTTGCACTTTCCAGGCAGACACTTAGACCATGGAGCTATCTCCCCAAGCCAAGAAACCCTATTTTGAAGCCAGAAAGTGATGACAAAAGCCACAAAAATTAAAGATAGAGCTAACAAACCAACTGTCTGTGTGGTTCTTTCCCTTCCTGCAACAACTTCCTTCCACAGAACTAAAGTTTCTGTAGATTCGCAGAACAAAAAAGTTATAAAGCTATCATATCTTTCAAGGAGCAAAATCTATGCCCAGGTGAGCTTGCATTTGAATGCTTCCTATTGCTGCTTTTCATTAAAAATATCTCAGTGCTTACAACTAAAATTGGACTATAATAGTAAGAGATTTTTCTAATATATTAGGGCTCAGAGAAGAACAAAACCAATAGACTCTATGTAGATTTTTATAAGAGAGGTTTTATTGACTTACATAATTATGGAGACTGAAAATTCCCACAATATGTTATCTGCAAATTGGAGACCAAGGAAAGCAGTGCTATAATTCAGTTCAGCCCTGGGCTAGTGAGCCAGTGCGGCCAATAGTGTAATTTTCAGTCTAGGAGAAAAAGCCTAAGGAACTGATGGGCCAGCAGTACAAGTCCTAGAATTTAAAAGCACAAGAACCAGAAGCTCTTATAGCCCAAGACAGAGAAAAGTTAATATCTTAACTCAAAAATAGCAAATTATCCCTCCTTCTATCTCTTTGTCCTATTCAGGTGACTGCTCATTGGCTTCGATGCTCTCTGTCCACATTGCATATCTTCTTTATAGAATCTTCTAATTCAAATCCCAGTCATCTTTGGAAATACCCTCACAGATATGTTCAGGTATAATGTTTCAATAGCTATCTGAGTAGCTCAAGTTGACACGTAAGGTTAATCCTCATACTTAACAATCCCAGGAAGTTAAGATCTATTTTTACATCCATTCCATTTACATTTGAAGGACCCAATGCAGTCTTTAACAGAAATGAATGGTTAACCATCCAACAGAAAAATATAAAAATGAGGTATAAAAAGTAAAGCCATATTAATATGCTGAGCTGTAAAAGGCTCAAGTCAACAACTTCTGACATTGCCAGTGCTATGGATAACCCACTACTATTATGGACTACTGAATTATATTGTATTATTTTGCTGAATTCACACACCTACAATATTTAAATGGCAATGTAATACCCATATCTGATAAAACTAAACAAAAAAAAAAAGGAGGCTATAAATGAAGGACCATTCTGTATTTGTACATACAAACTAATTAGGATAAATATATAGCTACTTTCTCTTAATTCAATGAGAAGAAAGATTTGTACTAATAGTGTTTGGACAGGATATCATGTCCGCATCTTGTACTATGAATAACCACTATGAAGGCAACAATATGCAATGTATTAGTTATTGAAACTGTCCTACTAATTGGTTTTGAAACTGTGTCATTGCTATTTGTTTCAATAAAATTAATTTTAAAAAACAAATCAAGAATTGGGAAGAAATGTAACACTGGTTTACCTTTTCAGGTGATTTTTTTTTTTAATTGTGGAGAGCCAAGATGGTAAAAAATATTTTAGCTGGCTATGGCTGTAATAATTGTCAGAGAGCATGGTGCTCAGAACTGCACTAACTGGCAAAACCTCGGGGCCCACTTAGGTCAGTGAGACACTCAGAATACAGTGGGTGCATCTTGCTCTCTCTCTCTCTCTCTCTCTCTCTCTATATATATATATATATATATATATATATATATATATGCCTCATAAACATTTATCAAAATAATGTCATTGGGCCAGAGAGATGGCTCAGTAAGAATAAGCACTTCCCTGGCAAGCGCAAGGACCTGAGTTCAATCCCTGGTTCCGCCCAAAAAAAAAAAAAAAAAAAAGTCATTATATAGACTGAGTCTGAGAGAAACACTTCTGCATTTACATAAAGATGGTTAACACCATAACACTTGAGTTTTCACTGTATATTGGGTGCTGTACCAAAGGTTTTGTAACAATATAAGTTACATCACTGTAACAAGTATGTGAAAAATGAATTTATGCAAAGGAAAGTTCATTTTGGCTTACAGTTTTCAAGGTTATAGTCCGTGGTTGGTTAATGTCATTGCTTTTATTCCTGTCTCAAGGCAGCACATCAAGGTAGAACATATGAAAGAGAAAAACTTATTATTATGTACGGAATAAAAACTAGAATCTGAGAGGCTGGGTCTGATTATTCCTTTTTTTCATTGGTCTAATTGTTGAGGGGGGTTCATTTGTTTGTTTATTTTGGTTTTTTACTATTTTTTATCCTTTTTAAAAAATAAAAAACCCTCCCAGGAGCACCATGCTGGAGACCAAGCCACAGGTGCCTTGGTGGACACAGCATCCATGCTAGAGTACAGTGTTCTCTCAGAGATCCCCAGACTACCAAAGTGAGCATCACCCCAGAAATTGTTAGGAAGGTAAATTCTGCAACTTCACTTCAGACCTACTTCCTTGAAAACTTGGAGAACAAGCCCAGAAATCTGTGCCTTAACAGCCTCTAAGGGGCTCCTTATTCCTGCTAAACTAAGGCAACAACTGCTTTATGTGAATTATTTAATCCCAGTAAGTCAATATGGTTTTGCCAACATTATATGACTAAGGTTACTGAGGCAAATGAGATTGAACATCTTGCCTAACAGTTCAGCTGTGAGCCAGTACAGTTAGGATTCAAACCTAGATTCTAACGGAAAATCAGAATATAGAATTCAACTGGGCTGTTGGGCCCTTCCTTTCCAAATGTCGCATGTATATGGGATCAATGTGCTTGAAGGCAACTCTATCCAGTAAACCTAAATTAATTAAAATTAAATACAAATTTGCTTCCTTCACTCAATGATTTTATGTAGCTATGTGCTACACTGTTAGAAAATGTAGAAAAAGAACATTTCCATGACCCCAGAAATGCCTTTCCTACACTGCTGCCGTAGGTAATTCTGTTTACTCATTTTGCTTGTAGTAAGTAGTGCAGAGAGTTTAGGACTCTTCCTTGTGGCTTCCTCATAAATATAATAAAAAGATTCGTTAAGAATGGCAAGCCACATCATTTTCCAGGCAATACTAAAAATAATGAGCTAGCATGATGTAATGTTGGGCATTCTAAAGTATATTGATGTTTAATAGCTCATTTAATATTTATATCAGCTTGGGCTGCAAGATAGCCCAGAGAACTAAGCACCTGCTTAGGCAAGCGCAGGGAATGGGGTTCGATCCTTGGTACCACATGCTGCGATGGCCCTGCCCCCAGGCACACTGAGCCAGTAACTGAGTTGGCATGATGGCACATACCTGTAATCCCAGCACTGGAGGAGCTGAAAACAGGAGGATCACTACAAGTCAGCTTCTTAGTGAGACCCTGTACAAAATAAAAATAATGATAATTCTTTTTAAAAAAAGAAAACAGGGG